TTCTTAAAGAGGCATATTTCTTTTATTTAGCTTATAACTTGTAATAAAATATTAGACAATACATGTTAAATTAATTTATTTTTTATTATATTTCAGGTTAAGAATATGATTGCGAATGATACGGGTTATATCACAAAATGCTTTAGAATGTCAAAAAATCGCTCTAGTCAAAACTACATCATTTTTATGGAATTACATGATGATAGCTTACATAAATATATAGCAAGAAGTTTTTGGAATTTAAGGTGGAGACCAAAAATGTATTTACTACAAATGGTCTTATAAACTTGCACACAAAAAATTTAGTTCTTCGTGACCTACATAATGGAAATATTTTGATAAATACATGTTATTCAAATTTATATTTTGCATCAATTTCAGACTTAGGTTTATGTGGTTTAGAAAATGATTTAATATTAAAATCAGATAATAAGAGTAATAAAATTTATAATTCAATTCTATATAATCCCCAAAAAAAGAATGAAAGCAAAGTTTCCCAAAAATAAAGAAAATGACTCCTCGTTTCCACCCGAAGTTTTATTAGGAAATGAATTCACACAAAAGGAATTATGTATGAAATGGCAGCTGGAAAACAACCGTTTTCTAATCGAGCACATGATACCCATTTAATAATTGATATATGTTGTGAGTGAGACCAAAAATTTCGGATATTATAATGGATTTGATTCAACTGCAAATGAAATATTCCATTCATCATGTTTAACGATCACATATGGGCTGATTTGACCACTAATTTCACATAAGTTATATCTGAGAAAAGATATTGTTCCACATAATATTATATGATAAAAAAAATAAAATAGACGAAAGAAACAAACGAAAATAACAAATAGTCATTATTTATTGGATTAACATCAATATTTTTCTGAAAATAATTTCCAAGAGTTCCAAACTTATATTTAATTTTTATATTTTTTAATTAACTAACTTGTATTTATAATTTTTATAATTATTAAAAATACATTATTTTATTATCATAATATGTATTTGTACTCTATAACTCTAATAAAACCTATAATTATAATTATAATATAAAACTAAGATTATTTAAAAATGCATTTAAAAATCTATTAAATAATAAATACATATGTGTTAAGTGTTAAAACCTTCAAGATCTATATTCTACAAGTTCAAAAGAATTCCTATTTCACTTAAATATCCTAAAAAATAGATAATATTTATTTTTTATTATAATTTATATAAATTAGAATAACAATTTTAATATTTTTATCTAAGTACGCGATTTCAACTGATTCAAAAAAACCGTTTAACAGTGCGAAAAAAAAAAAAACTAGATCATCAGATTTATGATCAATTTTGATCAGCATTGATACTTGTATAGTTCCGTAAAGTCAGATCGGATCAGATTTTTACCAATATTCGGATCTATCCGATATTCATTCTCCTCAAATCCGATCCGGCTCGTCATATACGGATCCAACTTTTTAAAATCCGAATCCGATTTTTAGTGTATTCGAATCCAATCCGAATACATAAAAATATTCGAATATTTTTGTGGATTCGAATATTTTTTATGGATTCGAATATTTTATATATAATTTTGGATTTTATTACCTTTTTGAATTTATAAAAAGTTAGGATATATAAAATCGTCGATCGTTGACACATATAAAACTTTTTATCTTATAAGTACATATCAAAAATGGTACTAAGTAACCTTAAATATAAGAATGAATTGCATATAATATAAAATGAACAGACTTATATCATCAAAATCGAGTGAATAATTGACATTTTAAAATTTTAATCCGTTTAACTTTAACTGTTCAGAATTCTTTCAATTTTAATTATATATTTACATAATATGTAATTTTCTCTTATCTTTATAGTTACTTAGTACCATTTTTTATATTTACTTATTAAAATAAAAAGTTTTATATGCAGCAACGATTAACGATTATTTTAATTACAAGTATTTTCTAAAGTTACACTTAAATGGGGAACGAAAAAGTAATAACCTATTTTTGGATTCAGATCCTTCGGATCAATCCAAATCCTTATTTGATCGATCCGAATCCATATCGGATTTCATTTTTTTGGATTCGATCCGGATCTGGATCCGTAACAATATTATCCGATCCGATCCGCGGATCGATTTGGATTCGAATATTTTTGCGGAACCCTAGATACTTGATTATTTTATTGTATTACAATTCACAATAATTAATGAGATTCGTCTAAAATATCAAAAAGAATTTTATGTGACAAAATCGCCAAATCAGCCGTATTTCCCAATTTCATAAGAATAGTAATATTGGTAATATTTTTTCAACATTTACAATTGCGGATGAAAATCAAGAAAATATCAAAAACTAAAATGTCTATCGTCAAGTATATTTCATTTACAATCTTGCTATATTAGCCGAAGTATTCATATAAAATCTGGAAAATTTCAAGGTAATCTTTATCAAAATTTTAATTATCTAATTTTAATAAATAATTAATTACTTAATTTTACATTTATAGATCCTAATTTATTAAAGTCTTATGAATCAACTACCTCAAGTTTCAGTACAGATGATATTGATTCTAAAGAATCGCATGAATGTATTGATTGGGAAAAAGAAATTCATAATCAAGCAATAAAACGATCATTCTCAACTTTAGAAGAATCCCAAGAATTCATTAATTTGAATAACGAAGATAATATTATATTAAAGAAATTTAAAAAGACTAAATTAAATTCTATTTTTTTTTTATTTATTTTATCATCTTTTTTTTAAAAATAAAAAATAAAAAAAAAATTTTTTAAAAAAAACCAATTAAATATTAATATTTTTTTCTTTTCTTTTTTAGATTAATATTTTATTTTTGTTGTAGGAGTAATTTCGTTTATTTATTAAAGAAATCCTATTTAACTTATTTATTTCAAGATTTATATCAGGTGTAGACTTTTACAAATTTTTTTAATTTCAACGATAACGATAATAATTTTGTGATTATAATAAAAGTAATTATGATCATGTAAGAAAAGGATTCAATAACCAAATATAATTTTAAATATCAAATTTCAAATATCAAATTTCAAATTATTTTAATTGCAGTCAGAAAATAATGTATTCAAGTAAAAAAAAAAAAAGGAAGATGTCATGACATTTTGACATCTGTCGTTATGAAATATTTTATTATCTATTTTACCAGAGATTGTGTAAGTTATAGAATGAATTATTAGAATTTCTTGCATATCATTTTTAATAACACGAAGATTTCAATGATCTACACGCTTTTAATATAAATTTGAAGAAATAGTTGATTTGAAGTTATATATTATTTATTTTTGAAAACGATATTTTTTCTATCCAGAAATTTATGCAGACCAATGACATTATACAGTATTACAGCTGTTGGAATATTGGAGTAAACGCGCATATTTCTTTATTTTTCATGTCTTAAAAAAAAGAAAAAGCAATGCATTATCCAGCTGGTCATTCTTCCAATGATATAATTTATAATAATCGCAAAATTTCTCAAGAGTTTCAAAACTTGGTCTAGTGGGAACTTCGAAATTATCCAAGAATCTCAAATAAATCATGGTGGAATTTTAAACAGTATTGGAAATATGATTACGCAGTTAGCAAAATCGCTTTGAAAGAAATAAATGATTTTAGACATGAATATCTAAATTTCTATAAAGAGGTATATTAGATTATAAATTATTATAAACTTTTATTATTGAAAATACCTTATAATATATAGAAATTTATTTTTCGAACAAAACAGTTACGTTTCTGATGTTTTGGATTTTAAAAAATCCTTCCACTCAGAACTATATTATTGTTTTAGATTTATAATGATAATAACTTGCATAAATTTTTAACAAAGAATTTATGGTGGAAAATAAAAATAAATTTAATTTAAATATTTTGATAAGAAACCTTTCATATATGCATTCACAAAAAAGGAAGAACCGTTTTCTGATCGAGCACATGATACTCATTTGGTAATTGATATATAATGTGACCAACTGCCAATGAAATGTACCATTCATCAATGTTTAACGATTACACGTATTTCCAATTACATAAGAATAGCAACATTGGTAATATTTTTCAACAGTTTATAATTCAAGAAAATCATCTCTATCGTCAAGTATAAGTCATCCACAATCTTGTTATATTAACCGAAGTATTCATATTCTTCATGTATTGTATAATTCATTAGAAGGTATAAAATCTTGAAAATCTCAAGGTAATAATTATTTAATAAATAATTAATTATAAATTTTAAATTTATAGATTATTATTTATTTATTCCTATTAAACAACTACTTCTTGTCTTTACTTACAATATTATAATACATTGGTTGAGAAAAGGGAATTATTAAAGAAAAGTACTATTATTTGTTTCAGGATTCGTATCAGGTGTAGACTTGTTTACAAAAAACGAGATCATATGCTTTCCTTTTTTGACAACGATAGCTCATTGTTTATAATTGTGATTATAATATGATCATGTAATAAAGATTTAATAAAATTAATATAATTATAATTTTTAATTTCAATTAGATAAAACAAAAAAAAAAAATTTGACATCTGCCGTTCGAAATATTTATTATCTATATGGTGTAAATTATAGAATGAATTATTAAAAGAATTTCTTGCATATCATTCTTAAAACTTTAAGATTTCAATGATAGATAATAAATATAATTTATTGCGCACACTAATTATTATTTTTTTTTGTAAATATTGCAAAAAAAGTAAAAAAGGTAAATTTGAACAATGTAATATGGTTCATTTCTATAAAAACATTCTAGAAAACCATGGTATTATGTGTCACTTAAATATCGGAGCAAAGATTATCAAAAAAGTATTTAAAGGTAAACTGAAAAGGAAGAATCTACAGTTCAATATTGTTTAGGAAAATATTATGAAAATCATTGTGATTATCAAATGAATTATTTGAAACATTTAAATATCGTATTTCTACCTATTCAATAACGTAGTTCTTCAATTCCCATGGATCAAAACGAAATAAAGTGTTCGGCTGGTCATTCCTACAATAATAATAATTACATTGACAAATATACTGGAATTTGTGATTTATGTATTAAAGAACATTTTATTCAAGAGTTCGAAACTTGGTCCAGTGGAAATGTTGAAATTGATAAAATTATCCAAGAATCCCAAAAAAACCATCAAGGATATGGATATAAGTTAAAATTACAATGGATACCTTATGATAATTTTCGAAATATCAAACACATAGCAGATGGTGGATATGGATCTGTGTATTCTACTATATTAAAAAATGGACTAAAATATAGATGGAATTTTTTTAAACAGGATTGGAAATATTATTATGAAGATAAGAAAATTGCTTTGAAAGAAATAAATGATTCCAGACATTATATATCTGAATTTCTTAAAGAGGTATGTTTCGTTTATTTCGATTATAAATCATTATAAACTATTATTATTGATATATTATACAATTAAATTAATTTATTTTTTATTATATTTTAGATTAAGAATTTAATGATAGCGAATGATTGGAAGTACATCACAAGATGTTTTGGATTTTCAAAAAATCCTGCCACTCAAAATTATATTATTGTTATGGATTTATATGATGATAGTTTACATAAATTTATAACAAAAAGTTTTTTGAATTTACGATGGAAATCAAAAATATATTTATTATATAAGATAGCAATTAGCTTTGATTATTTACATGATGAAAACTTAGTTCATTGTGACTTACATAGTGGAAATATTTTGATAAAATATTGTTCAAATTTATATGATGCATTAATTACGGACTTAGGTTTATGTAGTTTAGAAAATGATTTAATATTAAAATCTGATAACAAAAATAATAATGTTTATGGATTAATTCCATATATTCCACCTGAAGTATTACGTGGTAATGCATTCACAAAAAAGGGAGATATTTATAGTTTTGGTGGAATTATGTATGAAATAGCTACTGGAAAACGACCGTTTTATGATCGAGCACATGATACCCATTTAATAATTGATATATGTTGTAAAGGAGTAAGACCAAAAATTCCTGATGTTATGTTAAATTGGATTCCAAAATTGTATTTGGACTTAATGTATAAATGTTGGAGTGGTAATCCTTCTGAACGACCAACTTCTGAAGAATTATCTAATGTATTTTACAATTTATTAGGTAAATTAAGAAATAGTGAAATAATTAATGACATCCTACAACAGTTTATAATTGCAGATGAAAATCAAGAAAAAGCAATCAAATCTCAAAAACAAGAATTATTAAAACTATTTTCATCTTCAAATAAGTCTCATCCGCAATCTTGTTATACTAGTCGAGGTATTCATACCCTTCATAAATTGCGTAATTCATTAGTAGATATAAAATCTGGAAAATCGCCAGGTAAATGATTAATTATATTATTTTTTATGACTGCATAGAAATACAGATTCTTATCCTATGCCCACAAAGGTTAGGAATAGGGTTTGTCAGTGTATTTATATGCAGAGCGGAAACCATATTCATTCTCATGTGTCATATGAAAATTGCACGTGAATAGTTCTGATCACCTGAAAAATTATGGTTAATAAATAATTACTTAATTTTAGATCCTAATTTATTAAAGTCCAATGAAACATCCATTTCGAATATCAGTATTGGTTCTAAAGAATCACAAGAATGTATTGATTTTGATAAGGAAATTCAAAACCGTGCAAAAAAACGATCATTCAAAGAATGGATAAAGAAGATGATATTAAATTTAAGAAAATTAAAAAAAAAGATTATATTTCTGAAAAATACAAAAAAAAACAATTAAATATTCTTTTTTTAGATTAATATTGATTTTATTGTAGGAGTAGTTTTTTTTTTCATTTATTATGTATTAGTAAAGAAATATTTAACATATTTATTTCAGGATTTATATCAAGTCTAGACTTACAAAAGCGAGATTTTTCAACGATGATTCAACTGTTAATATTAATTAAAATAATTATGTAATAAAGGATTCAATAAAATTAATAACCCAAACTTTACGTAATATTTAGAGATTTCAATTACAATAAGATGATAATATACTCAAACAAAAAAAAAAAAGGAAGATAATACTGTAGTATGACATTACCAGAGATGGTGTAAATTATAGAATTTCTAACCTGTTCTGTTTATTTTTGAGAACGGTCTTGTGGAAGATAAGATCATCAAAATACAGTAATGTTTGTTTCTATAAAGACATTCTAGAAATTTATGCGTGGATCAATGACGTATTACTTAAATAACGGAGTATCGCAACTATAAAACATACTTAATTTCTCTATAATTTAAACAAAAAAAAAAAAATATTCAATAACATAAATTTCTTTGTTTTCTATGTCTCAAGAAAAGTATTGTCCAGCCGGTCATTCTTACAAGAATGAATACATTGGCCAATCTACTGAAATTTGTGATTTATGTACTAAAGAACATTTTATTCAAGAATTCGGAACTTGGTCTAGTGGGAATGCTGAAGTTGATAAATTTGTCCAAGAATCTCAAAAAAATTATCAAGGATATTATGGAAATAGATTACAATGGATACCATATTATAATTTTCAAGATATCAAGCACATAGCAGATGGTGGATATGGATCTGTGTATTCTGCTGAATTAAAAATGGGCATTAAATCGTATTGGAATTTAAATAAACAGGTTTGGAAATATTCTTTTGTAAATAAAAGAGTTGCTTTAAAAGAAATAAATGATTCTAGACATGATATATCTAAATTTCTTAAAGAGGTATATTTCTTTTATTTAGATTATAAATTATTATAAACTTTTATTATTGGAAATATTATAATTAAATTATTATATTTCAGGTTAAGAATCTAATTATTGCGAATGAGTGGGAGTTGGATAAAGTCACAGTCACACGATGTTATGGAATTTCAAAAAATCAAACTATATTATAGTTATGGAATTATATGATCTAAGCCTACATAAATTTTTAACAACAACGAATCGAATGGGATTTTGGAGCAAAGACTGGTTAAGAAGTTTATTATATATGACATTTGGTCTTAGAAACCTACACAAAAAAAATTTTGTTCATCGTGACCTACATAGTGGAAATATTTTGATAAAATATTTAGGAAATGGTTTATATCCAAAATCAAATGGTGTATCAATTACGGACTTAGGTTTATGTAGTTTAGAAAATGATTTAATATTAAAATCTGATAACAAAAGTAATAAAATTTATGGATCAATTCCATATATTCCACCCGAAGTTTTACAAGGAAATGAATTCACAAAAAAGGGAGATATTTATAGTTTTGGTGGGATTATGTATGAAATGGCAACCAGAAAACAACCATTTTATGATCGAGCACATAATACCCATTTAATGATTGACATATGTAATGGAATAAGACCAAAAATCCCTGATTCTATGGATTGGGTACCAGAAGACTATTCAGGCTTGATGTATAAATGTTGGAGTGGTGACCCTTCTGAACGACCAACTGCTCGAGAATTAAAAGATGCAATGTATGGTATCTATTCGGAAGCGTTCGCACGAAATAATAGAACTCCAAAACAATTTCTATCTTCAAGCGAGTCTCATCCACAATCTTGCTATATTAGCCGAAGTATTCATACTCTTCATGGATTACATAATTCATTAGAAGATATAAAAACTGGAAAATCTCAAGGTAATATTTTTATCATATTATTTTAATTATTTTAATAAATAAATAATTAATTACTAAATATTATATTTCTAGATCCTAATTTATTAAAGTCTAATGAATCAACCACTTCAAGTGTCAGTACTTATGATTTTGATTCTAAAGAATCACAAGAATGTATTGATTGGGAAAAGGAGATACAAAATAAAGCAATAAAACGATCATTCTCAACTTTAGATTATGATTCCCAAGAATCCAAAGAATGCATTAATTTGGATAAAGAAGATAATATTATATTAAAGAAATTTAAAAAAGATTAAATTAAATTCTATTTTTTTTTATTAAAAAAAAACATAAAAATCGAAAAAAAAATTTATTTTTATTAATATTATTTTAAATAGAATTTTTATAAATAAAACTGTCATAATGATCAACAAATAATGATACATTTACTTAAAAAGGTATAACAAAAAAAAGACGAGATAAAAAATTATTTAATTTATATAATTTAAGAAATATTACTAATTGAACAAAACTTTTAGTAACGTTTCATTTTACCATATTTTAATTTATCATTTGTTAATTCGGCTACCATTCATCGAATTATAAATGTCGCAAATTTTGTAATTATTTTATTTCTCAAAAAAAAATATATATTTTTAAAAAAATAATAATAATATGAAATTAGCAAAATGTAATTTCATTTAGATTAATCGTTTATTATTTTTTTTTTTATTTTAATATATTATTTATATGTTTTTTTAATTTATAATATAAATTTAGATATTTCGAAAAAATAGAAAATTCAGTTACCTTTCTCACTTCCGACGACGTTAAAATGAATTATTTTTTTTTTTTTTTAAAATATATTCAATTTTATCGTAAAAAAAAAAACCCATCACATTCTTATTGGTTAAGATTAAAACGTTTTTTTTTTTTTAGTTCAGGAGTTTCTTTAAATAAGCTTTTACCCATATGAAAAAATTCAAAGTAATTCAAGAATTTTGCAATAATATAACTGCAAAATATCCTAATATTATCTTTGAAATATTTTAAAGAATCCTAATTTCTTCCTCTTCCTGAAGAAGCACTAAACGAGATGACTTACAAATGGAAGAAATAAGAAATGGGAATATGTTTTTCAATGGGGAAAAGCCAAGAATCCTACTTTTACTTGAAGAATGGACTAAGGAAAATTTTCTTGACTTTGAAACAACTTTAAAACAATGCCTTCCACATATTAGATATTTCAACATTTCTGGTACAGATTTTGTTTGAAAGTTTTTGTTATTCGAAAAAATCCATCTCTACTTCCTCTAACATGTAATTTTTAAGTTTAATATACGAAATTTCTAAAGCATGTTCATATTAGAAAATAATATATTTTTTTATTTAAAATTTTTCGAGGTTGGTAACACATTCAATTAAATTTGTAAGTTTTAAAAAGTAAATAAAGGTACCCAGAGAAATTTTTGGTGGATATAATCCTCTATTTTTCAATTGAAGAATAGTTTAGTTTCTTTAATTAATTAATAAAACGAGTATTTACTTTATTAATAAATTGAATCGTCACCTGATCTTATATGATTTCAGTATACATATAAAAATAATAAAAAATGGGAATCATTTTAAAATCCAAATATTTAGCCACTTATTATTGTTTATTATGTATTAATAATAATGAGACATAAAAACTCTCATATATCTTTTTACAAAGTTCCAAATCTTAATTTTAAAAGCACATTAACTTTTATAAGTGAAGTTTTTAAATATAAACTAAAGCTTCTTTCCAAATTAATTTACTAATTCATTGCATTGTACGATTAGTTTATTTACTTTAAATCGATCTTTCAGAATGTACTGTGCCCTGACTTAGAGAAAGCTATCCTATATATAATCATTATTTTTTTTTTTTTACCAATGGAACCTTTGCATCAATGATAATTATTTATATAAGAATGATACTTTGTTATTTTTGGGAAAGGGAACAAGAATTACTCTTCTCAAAGTGATATAGAATGAAGGTTACTAAAATGTAAACTTCCGGTAATAACCTGTTTTTGTATAATTGTTTTTCTTCTTTTTTATGCTTTTGAATTTATTTAAGGAAATATGTATATATATGTAAAAACGTAAATTCATTTAATAAAAAAAAATGAGGTTATTCTATTAAATATATTTAGAAAGAGACGCAAACACGACCTAAAAATATAATTTAAAGAAAGATAGTTAAAAATAGAAAACCCTTGATAATCAATTATCTATTTATTCTATTTTATATAAGTCCAATGTAACAAAGGATATAGGGATAGTTAAGTCCGATCTCAAAGTAACACATTTATCATATCAATTACATTTATATCTGATTAATAATCTTTGGCTTCATTGTTTCGTTTTTTTTTTTTTTTACATGATAACGATATATAAATTTTTTATGTTCTTTTGTTCTCTTTATTTATATAAGCCTTTTATGATTCAACACATTTTTTAATCTTTTTTTTAAAAAAAAAAATGTCTTAATTGAATAATCAAATAAATCAAAAAAAAAAAGAAACTAATAATAATCTAAATAATCAATTATTAAATTTTAATAATAATTAAATATTAAAGTAAAACAAATAATTAAAATAAAATAAAATAAAAATGGCAAATAATAAAGTCCATGCCAATTATGTTAGTGCGGATACCAGAGCTTCTCGAGAAATAGATCAAAAAGAAGGTCAAGATTCCGTATTTATAGGAATGGCAAGTTCGGGAAGAATGCCGTTACTTGAAAAATGTTATGAAAAAAGAATTATTATATTATTACTTATTGCACCAAGTTGGATTTTATTATACTCGTTAATACCTGTTCTCTTCAAGCTTCGTCAAGGAATTGGGGCTGATATTTACAGTAAGCCACTTTCTCTCGATTATTTTTATTAATTAAATTAAATTAAATTATTTTATTTTATTTTGAATTTAATTAATTGAATTTAATTTGATTTATTTATTTATTTATTTATTTATCTTAGGGTTTATTGAACCGATAGTAACAATACCTGTAAATTATTTTATTTTGATATCTGCGGAAGTTTTCACTGATTTTAATAATGAAGCGACAATTGGTAAATTCTCTCTTTCCTACAATATGTCATAATAATAATAGATTCTAATATAATAGATTGTCAATCTATAATATTTTATTATTCTATTATTCATGTAATTAAAAAATTAATTATTTATATTTATTTTTTTTTTATTCAGTTTTTAATATACTAGAACGTTCATTCCTCAATGTATGGTTTTTGATTGGAGCCGTGATTTATTCACAAGGTTATTATTCTTTATACATTTTATATGATACATTAAAATAGAAAGTTCGTGTTGTGTTATTTGCATTAATTAAAATTTATAATTAAATATATAAAATATTTTAATTTATATTTCAGGATCAGGGATGCGTTTAACAGCAATTATGGCAAATCAGAATTTAGATAATATGATTAATGCAAATTCCAACATCACAACTGATTATCCTGCAATAGAAGATAATGATCATTATCAAGAAAATTTGGAAAATATTGTAAATATTCAATCAATTATTATTATTATTATTATTTAATTTTATTGATTATTAATTATAATTATAAATTATAAATTATTATTAATTATTATTAAATTATTCAATTCTTATTAATTAATTAATTAATTATAAATTAGTTCGGAAATTATTTACAAATAGCAGGAGCAATCTTAATCACGTGGTCTCACTTATTCGCATATCGCAAACAACTTCATTATGCAATTCATTCCAATTTCTTAGTTCCATTATGGTTTTTGGGTGGGATATTAAATGGAATTTTATTATCTTTTACAGCGATCAATATTCAACATGGTACATTGGTAGGATTAATTTATGTGATAATCATGGGAAGTTTACTTGCTATATATTTACGTGTTAGTAGTAAAGGATTATTTTCGAAAGGTAAAAAATTAGTACTTCAATCTTATTTGATAAGTTATATCGTTGGCTTGATATTAATTATAGTTTGGATTATTGTGGTGAGAGGATTTAAAGATAGGAAGAGTGCTGGTTGGTTCGTTTAAAAAAAAATGATCATTATTATAATAGAATTGTATAATTAGTTTATTATAATTATTTGGTTATATTGTATAATTAGGTTTATTTTTTTTTTTTTTTGTATAAAAATTAATTGTATGATTTAAAAAATTATTTACATTATCTTAAAAATTCAAATTCTTTTATTGTTAATATATATTTAAATATATTTATATATATATAAGTATATTTATTATAATATCTTATAAATAAAAATTTTACAAAATGAAAATCACAATTTACTCTTCTTATCATTATTATTATTATTATTATTATTATTATTATTATTATTAACTGAATTAAGAAATTCATACGCTTGATACATAATTGGTTTAAATAATCCTAAATATAATTTAGCTTCAGCGGAACTTGATTGTTTACGAAAAATTCGAGCAGTTAATCCTTGAGCAATTACTGCCAACTTAATTAATTGATTAATGATAAATTAATAAATAATTAATAAAATATAATTAATAAAATATAATTAATAAATAATAAATAGAATATAATTAATAATAAATTAATAATTAATAATAAATTAATTAATAATAAATAAATAAATAAGTAACAATAAATAAAATAAATAAAATAAATAAAATAAATAAATAATAATAAATAAATAAAATAAATAAATAATAAATAAATAAATAAATAAATAATAAATAAATAATAATTACCCTAAAGAAAGCAAATAAAATAGCAAATTCGAAATTAGGTATAGGATAAGGTCTATTAACCTTTTCGCAATATAATTTAATTAATTCATTAACCGTTGGAATAGGTAAATCCTTAATATCCCTTAATCCTATAAATGGTCCAGTATCTTTAATATAATATAATAATAATAAGCTTGCTAAATCCGATAATGGATGTCCAATCGTTGATAATTCCCAATCTATAATTCCAATCACTTTTGTTTCTGTTGAATGAAAGATCTATTTTATATGATATATTATTAAATTATATATTATTATTAGATTATATACGTTGGATATTAAATATATTTATATGTTATTAAATTAATTCATTTAATTCACTTACCAAATTATCTATCTGATAATAATAATAATAATAAATAAAATAAATGATGATGATAATTAAAATAATATAAAAACAATGATAATAAATATGAATATAATAATGATAATAAATATGAATATAATAATGATAATAAATATGAATATAATAATAATAATAATAATAATAATAAATTTAACGTACTCTATAATCACCATGAACAATACTCGTCTCATCTTTTATTTCATTTCTTTTAAACCATTCAATTATTTCATCAAGTTTAGGTAATGGTCCAACTTGATTTCCATTTTCATCTTTAACTTGTGCTTGAACTTTTGTGATCTTAAGTAATGAATTAATTTGTCTTGAATAAAAATTTTTGGAGGATCTTCCATAAGATTCAAGTCCTATGGATATATAATCTACTTTATGAAGTTTGGCTAACGTTTCAATTGCTAAATACCAACTAATTTTTTTTTTGTTTGTAGTTAATAATAGTTAATGATTAATATAGTTAATAATTTATAGTTTAATGTTTGTTGTTGTTGTTGTTGTTGTTGTTGTTGTTGATTAGATTTACCATTGATTTCGAACTTCGCGGGGAAGTGATAAAAGTCTTATATCTTCAAAAACTCTACCTTTTAAAAATTCCATAATCTAAATCAAATAAATAATATAAAAATAAAAATAAAATAAAAATAAAAATAAGATAAATAAAAAATAAAATGATATAATATAAAATAAAACAAAATAAATAAAAATAAAAATAAATAAAATAAAAATAAAAAAAAAAATTAAAATAAATTAAAAATAAATTAAAATAATTACATACATAAAATGAAGTTCCCAAAATTTCATTATTTTCACATAACAAATAAACCTTAGGAACTGGAATTTGAGTATTTCCTTTACTTAATGCATCCAATATTCGAAATTCTCTTTCCACTGCATGAGCTGTAGTTGATAAAAGTTGCCCTGGTGGTTTCTTTCTTAATACATAATGGTTTTTACTATTTATATAAAGAAAATTATATGAAATTGATAACAATTTATTAAATAATTGAATAAAAAATGAATAAAATTATTAATATGATAAAAAAAAATCCTTTAAAAATCCTTTAAAAATTATTAAAAAATTTATAATTATAATTGTGATTGTAATTAATTACTTTGCATCAATTAAGAGATAAGTTGGATTACTCTGTCCAAATTTAAATTGTCGAACTTCCAATGGTAATTTTAAATTTTGTAAATTGGCTTGTAAATATTTTTCAAGTTTTAATATATCAATTGAGAGTCTTTTAATTGAAATAATTAAATATGACGATAATTCATCTTAATGTTAATAATTAATAATGATATATTAATATTAATGATGATTATTTTATTTTTTACCGAACATCTGAAGTTTCTTGAACATTAATTGATTTTTTCATTTTTTTTTTTTTAAAAAAAAAAGAGAAAATGTAGAATGCACAAAATGCGGCAAAGTTGATAACAAAAAGATCTACAATCTGGTATAACTAAAAAAATTTAGCTACTTGAATAAAGAAAATTTTGAACTTCTTATCAATTTTCGAGATATAATAAAATTTAACAAAATTTAATAAAATTTAATAGATTAGAAATATGAAGAATTCAAAAAATTTCATTGTGAAAAACGGTTTTGAAGAGTTTATTGAGGTAGGAAAAATGAAATTTATTATTAATCTAGGAAACAGACGATTCTTCAAGTTGCAAGAAATCTCTAATATATATATTCTCTAATATCTCTAATATGAAAATTTTACCAATAATAAATAATAAAATTATGATAGAAAAATGAAATCTAAAATTTAAAATACAGTAAATTAAGAAAAAAAAATTATATAAGAAATTTTATTCACAACCACAACAAACGCCTGACATTCTTTCTTTTAATTCTTTTGTAGATACGGAATTCTTGATTGATTCATTATCACCTAATTCATGATTTTCGGTTATTCTCACTTCTGAAAATAATAATAACGGAAGAAATAATATTATTAATAATGATTAATAATTTTATAATTAACTTTGAGAGGGAGAGAAAGTAGACATAAAACAAAATTAATTCTTAAAGAAAAAAAAAAAAAAAAAACTTACTAAATCTACTTTTATCTGGATCCAAGACTGCTTGTGCCACATTTGATTTTAAAAACTTTGTTACATCTATAGCTTGATTAATTTGCTAAAAAAAAAATAAATAAATAATTTTTAAGATTTAATTTAATTAAATATAATAATAAAAATAATAATAAAACTTATTTGTATTTAAGACGGACATCATTAATTTTCGATTCATCATTCTCATTCTTATTTTTTGAAAATTCTTTATATGTCGTATTCCTTGCCTCTAATGATACAAAATTTTTTTTTTTTAAATATTAATGATGATAATAATAATAATTTGAACTTGATAACAATTTTTCTGATTTTATTAATCATTACCTGTCATAGCAAATAAATCTTCTTCATTTTCATAATAAATATTTTATTCAAATACATATCATAGAAAATAAAAACGATATTATTATTATTATTATTGAGATTATGTAATCAAAAGAAAAACGATCTTTCTTTCCATCAAGTCAAGATGAAATTTTAATTACCATTAAAAATTTCTCGTTGAACTCGTAATAATTGTTTATAAGCATTCAATACCTTAAACCTTGTATTGTTACTTATTAAAGATGCCATTTTTAATTCTATGATGATAAAATAATGGTAATAAATAAATGTATTAAATATAAAATGTATTCCGAAAATTATGCAAATCGTACCATTTATTATCTCTGTAAATTGTGATTATGTAATAAAAAGATTAAATGGAAAAAGCATCATCATCATAATGTTTACATAATACAATTTTAACCGAAATATTTTTGTTTTACCAGAAATGGTAGAATTAATTATTTTTTTTTTAAAAACTCGAAGATTTCAATTATTATATAATAACAGAAGTAATTATTTTGTAGTGTAACCTGTTCTGTTTATTATATTTACGTTTATATAATGACATTCTATGTGGATCAATGGCATCATGCAGAACTTCGGAGTAACTCGCATAGTAACAGATGGCAAAAGTACTACTTATTTTCTGCCCAAAATTTGATCATATTTCTTATTTCTATATCTTTTCTAGAAAAATTTGAATTTTTTAGAAATGGCTATTGTCGACATCATTCTTTCTATTATGATAAATGTTGTGAATTATGTACTAGAGAACGTTTTATTCAAGAATTCAAAACTTGATCTAGTAGGAAATGTTGAAATTGATAAAGTTATCCAAGAATCTCAAAAAAAAAATAATGGATTTGACGTATATAAGTTACATTGGATACCTTATGACAAATTTCGAGATATCAAACACATAGCTGATGGTGGATACGGATCTGTTTATTCTGCTATATTAAAAAAATGACATTAATGTGCGGTGGAATTTTAATAATTGGGATCATTATGCAGGTAATAAAATTGCTTTGAAAGAAATAAATGATTCCAGACATGATATATCTGAAATTCTTAAAGAGGTATGTTTCTTTAATTTAGATTATAAATTATTATAACTTTTATTATCAATAAATATATTTTTTATGCAACTGAATCGATATATTTTTATTATATTCCAGGTTAAGAATCTATTGATTATGAAAGATTGGGAATTCATCACAAAATGTATTGGATTTTCAAAAAAATCCTTCAACTCAAAACTACATCATAGTTATGGAATTATATGATGATAGCTTACATAAAGTTTTAACAAAAAATTTTGGGAATTTAAGGTGGTATAGAAAAATACATTTTCTATATAATATCGCAATTGGTCTAAACAATTAATGAAAAAAATTTAGTTCATCGTGACCTACACTCCCCTGCCAAAAGTTTCCGACCACCTAAAAATTCGTATTTTTTAAGTAAATTTTTATTTGCTAATAACTCATGATCTAATTTATTAAATTGGGTCAAAATTTTTTTTATTT